GTCTCTCTCTTCTCTCTCTCTCTTCTCTCTCTCCCTTCTCTCTCTCTCTCTCTCTCTCTCTCTCTCTCTCGCTCTCTCTCTCCTTCCTGTTGCGTACCAAGTGCACACTATGATAACAGGTCGTGCGTTTTCAGGACAGTTTTGATTGTAGAAGGTCAAATCTTTTCTTTATTGTGTACAGTACGATGAAGCCAGTGGCTTATTCAGATGCAGAACCGACAAAGTGATTGTTTGTTGTGCCAGTAGGTGTTGATCTATTCTTATATATGGCGTCGATCTATTTGCTTGCTTTTCGTTACGAAACATTATAGTATAGTTATAGTAAGCTAAAAGTACAAACTTCGACTAGACATCCGATAGCAGGTACACTCAGAAAGTAGTTTTGTGTTTATGTATTCTTATCTGACCTACGAGGTCATATTGTTGAAGTGCCCCCTCCTCTTGCCAGATTTTTCATGCAGTGGAAGCCAAGTCAGTCAGTCAGTCAGCCAGATATACGCTGTCAGTCATCTTGGTGGCTTGATCCTAACCTGAGCTCAGTCCTTACGTCCGTGTTTCTCTTTTTTGTTTGAATGGGTGGTTGTTGGGTGCTCTAGTGGGGTTTGCTTCTTCTTTGCTATCAAATACCAATCATCGTTATCTCGCCTTTTTCTTTTTTGTGTTTGTGTTTGTTACTCTCTTGTAATACATTTAATCTTCGGCACTTAATGACCTTATTGTGTTACAAGAACCGTAAAACTCTTCCAAAAAGTAAAAACATGATAAATTATTTACTATAGAACATCTACTGTCCCTATCACTACTCCTGCTTTGTATGTCCCTCTCAATCAACACAACTCCTCTACGTGTGCCGTAAAATAAACAAACTAACAAAAAAACAAACAAGCAAACAAACAAACAAACAAACAGACGAACAGACAAACATCTCTTTGTGTTGCAAGTGCCGTTAAACTCAAATTACCCCCGCCCCCGCCCAACCCCCAGGACAGTACAACTGACTGAAATGTCTTTAGGCCATTCCTAAAGGGGGGATATTAACACGTTCTTATGCGCGGTAGAATTGTAAATGGACTGATTTATCAATGTCGTGCTCACACTGTACCGGAACAACAAAGGGGGAACTGCTGCTTTCTCTTTCCTCTTCCTTACTATCGTCATTTTCCCTCTACTTCTTTTGTATGTTTGTCACTCTCTTGTGAAATGCTATTTATTAGGAGCTTTGATAGTCAAAACAGACTTTACACTGTTGAGGCTAGAGAGGTGAACAGAGTAAGCCTGATTCCCCGTTAAAACTTCTCTGTTGACATCCACCCCTTGGTGCTCATATGACCTTATGCAGTTGCGCGCACCGTAAAACCTTACTAGTGCTCTGGTGTGGTTTGCTCCCTCTTTCCCATCAAACATCTATCGTTCTTATCTCCCCTCCTTCTTTTTTGTGTTTGTTACTCTCTTGTAACACATAATTTATTCTTCGGCACTTGTATGACCTTATTGTGTTGCAAGTGCTGTGATGGCACTTAAATGACCAAAATTGGGTCGATGGTGCCGTAAAACACCTACTCAATCAAGCAAGTGCCGTAAAACTCTTACTAAAACTTTAAAAAAATCCTTATTAAAACAAAGAAACTTATATTAAATTATAAATGTATTTTAAAAATCTCTTTCTTCGTCTTCAGCCGGCCAGGTCACGGGATGGCCAGCGCAGACGCACCGCCGTGGTGACCTACGACCCTCACCAGGCCAGTAACACGTTGGAGTACGATGACCTTGGCACCATGAGTGACCTTGAACTCCCTTCCTTCCAGCGCGGCGGCTTCATGAGGACTAGCCTGCCCATCGTGAGGAGTGCCTCTACGTCACTGGAAAGACCGCTAGGTGAGTGGGATATGTTTGTGTAGGGGAAAGGGAGGGAGGGAGAGGGAGAGAGAGTGGGAGAGAGAGAGAGA